GGTTACCTGATTTTGGTGGCGATACTAAGTGGGTCCTTAACCGGGTACAACAGGTAAAATTTTATACCCGAGTATACCCGTCGATCACTCGGTTAACCTGCGGGTATACTTGCCGGTTAACCGGGTAACGTTTTTTTGACTGAGTACAATCACTATATGGGACAGTCATTTACTTCTTTTGATTTACTTGAGAAATGTCTAAAATGTTATTTAATTAGAATAGGGTTTGAAACAAGGATAGTACGAGCTAAAAAGAATGATAATATTTTTGTTCATAAGACATATAGATGTAGACATAGTGGAAAATACCTGCCTAAAAAAAACTAGACCCAACAGAAAATTGAGATAGAGAGTCAGGTCATACAGAATGTGAGTTTGCAATAAATGCTTCATATCGAAAAAGTGAAAAACTTGTCTTCATTAACAAGTTCACTGAAAGACATAATCATGAATTGAATAATAAAGAATTACATTTGAAATTTTCACCATTTTTGCGTAAAATATCTAGCAATATTAAGGAAGAAATCTGATTTTATGTTCAGGAATGTCAACTAGGAGCAACTGTATTGAAATGAATATTGCGAAGTAAATTTTCTGATCAGAAAATTTATGGTCAAGATCTTTACAATTTGATAAATAAATATAAAACTTGTGCTCAGGTTAAAAATGATGCTATGGCTTTATACGAATATCTTTCAAAAGCACAGCAAGAAAATCCTGACTGGTACTTTAAAGTAGATTTTGAAGGTGTTGATAATAGACTTTCTAAGATTTTCTAGATGTCACCTGATCAGAAGAGATTATGAGCTCGATATCATGATGTAGTTATTAATGATAACACATGCTCTTAAGTATTTTTATTGTAATTGATTCAAATCATAGAAGTCGTATTGCAGCAACTGCTATAGTTTGTGATGAGACAGTGTCGACTTATGAATGGATTTTAGAGCAAACTAAATTAGCTACTAATAGTTTTCAACCAAAAATGATTTTTACAGATGCTGATCCAGCAATGCAAGTAGCTATAGCAACTAAATACTCTAAAACTATTGTTCGACATTGTGCATTTCATATTCAGCAAAATTTAGTTAAAAACCTTAAGAAAAAACTTTATAATAAGTGGGATAATTTTATGGCTGATTTTTATGCATTAAGAAATTCACTAGTAGTATCTGATTTTGAACATTGTTGGATGGAATTAATGAATAATTATTCAGAAGTTCAAAAGTATTGTGATAGAGTTTTGTATCCAACTAAAGAATGTTGGGCATATGCATTTACAAAGCAAAAATTTTCAGCAAATACTCATTTGACACAACATGTTGAAAGTATAAATCGTGTTATGAAGCTAGAAGTAAACTCAAAAAATTCTTTATGTCAACTTCAAACTGGAATTAAATTTTGGCTTAAAGACGAGATCAAGTATACAAAGTTTCAAGAGTTTAGAAATATGAATCCTATGGCTGGAATTCCACATATCTCCAATACAATTTTTAAAGAAATTGATATTATATATCAAAAGTATTTAACTCCAAATTCATTAGCTCTACAAAGAAAACAAATATTTGAAAGCCTTCTATATAGATCTTTATTATATAATACGCCTCATATTAATACTAGTCAGCAACTAGATCATAGAGTAGGATTTATAGAAGATGATTATGAAGAGCCGCAGATTCTATTAAATATGGTTTTAGAGGATTGTTCTGGTAGTGTAGTGATCGAAATCTGGGAGATTAGACATATCTAAAGTACAACAAATTACTCACAATTTGTTATTTTACTTGAAGATAGTACACATTATTGTACATATTTATATTTAATATATGCTGGATTTGTCTGTCGGCATTTTTTTGCTATAATGATTCAATCAAAAAAGGCAATTTTTAATATAAAGTTAATACCTTCTCGTTGGTATTCTGAAAATAGTATTACTTCATATAATGGAGATCAAGAATTATCTATTCAATTAGTACAAAATAAGATTAAATCACTCTCAACTGAAACATTTGAAGTCTTAGAAAGAATTCGTAAACAGGAAGTTAATAGTCGAATTGCTATAGAATCTGATTCAAAGAGAGTTTTTTATAGTTGTGGTCTTGGCTTTTGCAAAAAAGCCTTAAACATAGCAATTGCAAATAGTTCAAACAAGGTTTTAGAAGATATTTTACACCAATTTATTAATGAACAAACCTCAAAACAAAGTAATAACAATGCTGCTTCTGAATTATCTGAACAAGGCACAAGTCAAGAAGTTGATAATTTTAAAATTTCAAATCCATCACAACATAAAGGTAGAGGACATCCTGCAAACAAGAGATATTTATCTGCAGTTGAGAATTATGATAACAAACATGTTCATTCTAATAATGATATCAATATATTAGAGTCTGGAGCAAAAAAAAAAAATAAATGTTAATGTGCCATGTGTAAATCATGGTATCATGATTCTCAAAACTGTCTTTCAAAAGAATAACTACGGTGTTAAGTATAAGGTTGGGGTAGTAAAAAATATTTACTATATATTGCAATTTATGAGTTTATTCATATTGATATGATTATGTTGAAATTTAAAAACTAGCATGTATAAGTAAGTATTATATCAATCAGGTTAATTTTATTTGTACAAGTGATACAAGCCATCAAAAATCAAATTACTTGGTAGAGTCAAAGTTAAATATGAAGTTATAAAATTTGTTGATTATTTCTTAAGGTATATAGTTTGCATTACTTGTATAAATAAGTTAAGCCAATATAAAATTGGTTTCAGTTAGGCTAATTCTTTATCATAATAAGAGCGACTTTAATTGATTATTAAAATATAAAAAGTCTAGCCTAGAAATAGATTTTGTTAAAAGTAAAACTAAATAATATATATATTCGACAAATCATCTCTAGACTTGACTAAATTTATAAATTAATGATCACTTAAAATGTTATCTTATTTGATATTATATACCTATAGTTTATTGTATTTCTTGTTAGCATCTGATCAAAATTGCAACTTCAAGTGTCTGAAATTGCACCTGCTTAAATATGATTTTAGAGATAATTCTAGTTAGTACAATTTTAAGCACTTGAAGTTGGAATTTTAAAAGTTATATGTATGCTCTTTTGTCACCATGATTTGATTGTGCAAATATTTATTTTTTTTAAGTGATACTAACCCAAAAAGAAACTATTGATTTTTTAAGAGTCATATAATGTTAGTGATAGATTAGGGTTAAAGTTAAGGTTAGAGTTAGATTTGGGGAGTTATGGTTATACTAAAATTTAATATAGAAGTAATTTTTTAGACAACATTTTGAATACCAGCAATTTTTTAAAAAAACCTTCACTTTCAATAATCTACTATCTAGTACAAATATTACTTTTATGATACAAACCTGGGTATTATTCATCTTGAATATTACCTGGGGTAGAGCTGGCAATAGAGCTCAATGGAGACCAATAGAGCTGCGAATAAAGCTAATAGAGCTCTGAATGGAGCTAATAGATACTAGTTTTTTGAGCTCCATTCACATGACTATTTAACTCCATTGGCTTCATTGCCAACTCTGCTCGGGGTATAACTATATTGTATTCAGTTTATTACTTTCATACAATACAAGTGCCACAGGTACTATAAAATAGTGTTCTTTAATAAGACCTGGGTATTGTATACAGTGCTAGTTGGTATATAATAAAATTTCTTTTTGAGTTTGGTATTACTCTTTACACATAATAGCAGAGATTGGATAATATATATACTATATACTGTATATATATATATATATATAGTTATATAAAGACTTGCTAAAATTTGATTGGTTAATTTAGAGTAGGATATTGATATCCCCTGGTGTCAATTAAAAATAGTCAAATATATAATTATAATATTAATATATAATATAATTACATAATCATAATAAATTAATATATACTTTAATAAATTAATATATAATTATAGTAACTTCAATATATACAAAGCAATTGTCTCCAAAAACAATTAAAGAAACTCTTTTCAACGATCACTTGGACCAAATTTTCTGACAAAAAGAAAATTCTTTTTTGATACTGGAGAGTAGTAACCTGTAGTGAGGTGAATTCAACAGGACAGTTTTTATAAAGGTTAACCTTTCTCTATTCTTGGGGACTCCTTTATATATTCGATATGCAAGCCAAAAGCGTCTGTATACAAGATAACTGGCAGAAGATG